ACAGTTAGCGTGACAATCTGGGCATTGCAGCGCAACCAGAAGCGTCAGTCTGGACCATAGGCCTTTCACGCACCCCACCCCTTTCCCCACCCCTTTTCAATACTCTCCCCTCCGCTTCCCCTACCCTACCTAACAGCTTAGGCAGGGTTGGAGTCGATATTCCACGCCTTACGTTAGACGGCAAGAACAACCCCCCTTTCCATGGATTAACCACAAAAGGGAAAATTTGAATTTTAAAACTGGCGAGGTCGTTACTCGAAAGTGTCCGCCATTATTTGCATGCCTTTTACGCTGGCGCCGCAATTTCCAAATTCAAATAGCAGATGTGAGCGTGAGTGCTGAGACTGCTACACCTTAGTACTCTGGAAAGCGAGCGTTTAGTGTTTGACCCGCTATGGCCAGGCAAGGCAACGGGCCCAACGGGCTGGCGGACCCCCGAAGTGGCGAGGCGGAGCGTGGCGGGGAGGGGTGGCGAGAAAATCAATACTACACAACCTCACGTTCATTCATGCTCTGAGCGTGAGGCAGGTACATAGCGACCCGAGACGATCGCATCATGAGGAGCGTGTGGGTTTTGGCATTATGCTTGGAGTATGGGCAATGGTACGGCAGAGATGCGGCACCCAGGAACGCCTTGAACTCGACAGACTATTTCGAAACTTCGAAGGTAATCATTCTTAACACGTGCATGAAAACGTTGAGTACATTTTTTTCCCTCTTAGATGTAATGATTCACTCACCTCTGTGGTCGAAATCTCGTCAACAGCATTTTATTTTTGGTGACCTAACCTCGATAACCACCGTGTTCACTCAAAGTTTCACTTGTCACTCGCGATCAAACTTGCTGAAAGATACTCGCTTCAAGAACCATGTTCACTAATTAGTATTAATTCACAACTTTAGAAAATATTTCGATGTGACACGATCAAAACGACACAAGTTGAAACACCAGAACGACTCCAACGAAACCACGCGTTAACCGGCAACGATGATGAGATCAGCTGACTGGGTGTGAAGTGTGGAGGGGGGAGAGGGGGGGGGGCTCTGCGCTAAACCATACCACCGATTGTACTCTTGTGGCCTTCCCTTCACAGGAAGTAGCGAATACTTTAAGCCACACCGTCGTGATGGTGGCATTTTGTAAGATTAGTGTTAATTCCATTTGCCCGCGCTTTTTTTTTTTGTACAGGTGGCAGAAGGGCAAGATGCTGCTGTTGTGCTCGCTGTCGTGCTGGATCATCTTCACGCTGCCCCTGGGCTTCATCCAGCCGCCAGTCACCTCCTGCCTCAAGCAGAAGAACGTCACCGAGTGGGTGCTGACGGTCCCGGAGAGCCCGCGCATGCTCAAGCGGGAGGCGCCGCTGTCCCTGTTCCTGCTGGAGGAGGCGGTGAGCGTCGACTTCCTGCCCGGCCCGCCTTTAGGCCCGCCGGCTACCTGTTGCCTACGAGGGTGAATAAACCCGCTCTTTTTGTCTTCCCCCTGCAGGACGAGGAGGCCTTCATGGCAAACCCGCACCTTGGCGAGAGCCGCTCCGCACGGGTGGCGCGCGCCGCCATGCCGTACTTCACGGCCGGCACCTCTCCGCACGACGTCGCCTTCGCCTCCAACTACAACGCCAAGACCAACAAGAACTGGGTCACGCCGCGGTTCAGCTCCATCGTCTACAAGATACCGGTGGGTGTCCAGGACCCGGCGCTCCAAGCCAAGTGCGGTGAACAGCCGTGCGCCGCGAGCTAACCCACTCGACTCCGTCTTCCTTCTTACAGGACATCCAGAAAGCCTTCTTCTTGCTCATGCTGCTGGTGGTTATCGGGGAGTTCTTCGCCGCCCCGGCCATCACCCTGGCGGACTCGGCCGTCATCACCATCCTGGGTGACGACGCGGACCACTACGGCCACCAGCGCATGTTTGGATCTCTGGGCTGGGGTCTGGCCATGTTCTTTGTCGGCATCGCGCTCGACCACTCCACCGCCTTCCCGGACCACCCTTGCGGCCCCCAGGATAGAGAGAAAAACTACACCATCTGCTTCGCCACCTTCTCGGTGCTGATGGGCGCGGCGCTGATCGTGGCCACACAGATCAACTTCAAGTACGACCCTCCCAGCGAGCAGCCCGTGCAGGAGGCCGCCAAGGCCCCCCAGGAGCCCACCCGCGAGGAGTACCTGCAGCAGCAGCTCGCCCAGCAGCTCAACCTACCCTCGCTGGCGGACACCTCGGCGGGCGGGCAGGCGCGCCAGGAGCCCAACGTCGGGAAGGTCAGTAGCTTGGAAAACAACATTTTGAGAGTGACACGATATCGGGAATGTCGCGTCGCGTGATCGGCATGATTACCTGTTGCAGACCAAGGTGTTCGCTCAAACGAATCGGGAGATCCCCGAGTGGGTGACGGTGCTCTCGCACTTCAAGAACATCAAGTGCGCCTCCTTCCTGTTCGTGGCCTGGTTCATGGGCTTTGGCATCGGGCTCATCTTCACCTTCCTCTTCTGGCACCTCCAGGTAGGCGCGATCTCGCCCGAGTGCGTTCCCTATCCCTCTTCCCTCGCCCTTCCCCACGGCGACCAGCTTGAGCTTGACATGCACACCTTTACCAGGACTACGGCGGCTCGCCGACACTCTTCGGGGTGGCGTCCGTCATCAACCATATCTCGGAGATTTTCGCCTACTTCTTCAGCTTCCGGCTCATCAAACAGATGGGACATGTTAAGGTGAGCTTGAATTCCTCAAGATGTTGTCCCTGTTCCTCCCGGTGTGTGATTGTCACTCGATTCAACCCTCCCGTTGTCCTCCAGGTGCTGTGTCTCGGCCTGGTCGGCAACATCCTGCGCTTCCTGTACATCTCCTGGCTGAGAAACCCCTGGTGGGTGCTTCCCTTCGAGTTCATGCAAGGTGAGTGCCCACACACACACACACACTGGACTGGAGGGAAGTCCGCGCAAGAGGCTCTTGTGTTTGACGTGCTTGGCGTTGCAGGCATCACCCACGCCGCCGTGTGGGCCGCGTGCTGCTCCTACATCGCGCACAACACGCCCCCGGACATGAGGTCCTCCTCGCAGGGCGTGCTGCAAGGCATCCACCACGGCCTGGGCCGCGGCTGCGGCGCCGTCCTGGGCGGCATGCTCGTCACATCAATCGGTACGTATTATTCCTCCGGCCCCCGCCGCACCTCACCGCGCCACCAGCTCCCGCCAAAGACAGTTTTCTGCGCAGGAACGACGGCCACCTTCCGCGGCTACGGCGTGTGCTGCGCATTCGTGCTGGCCGGGTTCGTCTTCATCAATTTCTACCGCAAGGACCAAGGGTTTGTGTTGGACCTGCCCCAGACAGAGGACCCCCACCAAGTGTCAGAGGAGACCGCCCACTTGGCTCCCCACGGCGTACCCAGCAACCCGATTCCCAGGTAGGACTTCCCTGAGTGACCTACTTATGTGATGTGTTGCTTCTCGAAACTCAACTGTCATCTCTCGTGTCGAAGGGCGCTGTCTTCTTCGAGACTACATGAGTTGGCTGCCCAGAACAACGACGGCTATGGAGCTACCTATCAGACATCAGCTGGTGGCAACCTGGACATTCCTGGTGCAGGAGGTGGTGAGTTCACCTTTGTATCGCACAAACAATTCTATAAATTTCATGTCTGTTAAGTGAATTAGCATATTCTGCTACCTGTCCTCAGCTCCCACAAATCCATTCCGTACTGACAACAACAATCAACAAGGATTCGGTTACAGTAATGGGGGTGGTGCATACAACTACGGACAGCAGGTAAATAATTTGGTTCATAAGTGCAATAGAAAAAGCAAGCAAGGCAACATTCCCGGAGACTGACCACCTATTTGTGTCTTCATTTTAGTGAACTATAAGCGTGGATAGCGGTTCGAAGTGAGTTCCAAGATGTAAAAACTTCTGTTTGGTGTGTGCTTTTGTCGGATGTGTTCTCTATTATAGACTGTTTCTCTACCCGTCTCTTCTTTTTCCTCTGAATGTTATATTTTTATCTGTCTTCTGTCTTATTACCGAGTCAGCACAAAATGCATGAGGATGAATCACCATTTTAAAATGACCAGGCTGATGATTCGCCCGGTCCATTTTCTTAGTTAAACTGGACAGCATGCGTGCAGGCGGGTTTGCCTATCGTCTCTGAGCTTGCGTTTAGTTAGACGGGTGTAGGGGGTTCTAGGGGGTCCTGAGCTGTCGAGAACGTTTTTCCCCCATACACTTTGCATGGGTTTCTAAGGCGGTGAGTCTCAGGACCCTCTAGCACCCCCTAGCACCCCTCTAACTAAACGCAAGCTGATGACGTATACGGTGCTCGCACGGCGCCTTACGGCGGGAGCGAGTAGGCAAACCCACTCGCATGAGTGTATGCCTAACAGTCTAACTACGGGCGGGTCGAATCAGGCACCTGGTGAACTCAAAGAATTCTGAGCATGTGGCGTAGGTTTGTTTTTAACAAACAATTTTTGACCCATTGCATGAACTCATTTGCTTAAGTACGTGTCCAGAAAACCTGCAAGTACAGATTCCTTGTGTTGTGCAAGTTGACAAACTGCGACTGATGCCAAGATATTATCTCCCTCTAACAAAACTGTATTGTTTCAGGGATATGATCAGCAGCAGCAGCAGGGACCGCTTGGCTCAACAGAAGTTTATGCCCAACAACCTGCCCAACAACAACAAGGGTACAACTGGTAAACAGAAGGGAATCGTATAACTGCCATATCATTTGGAGCTGAAAATATTTTTGATTGATATTAGTTGATATTAAAAAAATCCTGTATAACTTCTCAAACAGATACCTTCATTTTGCTTCGAGTCACTCATTTTTTAGAATGGTTTTAATTTCCTGAAATTGAAATGATGATGCAAGTTCTGCTGGCTCAAAATTAGTTTCTGATACAATCATCTACTGGCACAAGAGTCTTATGAGTCAGTATGTATAGATGATTGCACCTCAGCTAGTATTAATAGGACAGTATAAGTGAGCCTCTGTTCTCAATATCTCAAAGTATAAAGGCTGGGTTGATTGGAGAAACGAAAAATGGATGATGACGCACAGGCTCAAGACTCAAGTTTTGTATTATATGCTCCATTTTACAGAATACTTTTCATTGTTATTCTTAACAGCTTGATTAATTTCCGGGAGATTTTCCTCCACCTTGTTAAATCTTCTCTCATCATGTTGACTGTGACAAAATATTCAAACCTTGAAATAAAAGTGAGGAATTCTGACCACCATGTGGTTGTGACAGTCAATATTTTTAAGTATTGAATGCTTGAGCTGATAAGGTCTTAACTGTTCCAAAACATAAAATTTCATTTTACATTATCAATGAGATGAGTAATGTTCAACAATAATAACTCTTATTTTAACTTTGACTGAAACTCATTATTATTTATGAGGTTTGTATTTATGTCAGTGATGACATTACTTAATTTCATGATTGTGGAATGTTTTGGTGATCTGTAAAACCTTTACAACTTTTAGGACTCCTCATAACACAATCAAAAGAATTGTGCATAAGTTCTCTTTCTCTTGCTGGATTGATGTAAAAATATAACAGATGTATGAAATAAATTGGTTAAGTTTTGTAACCAATATATTATGTGCCATTTCTGGTATATGTGGACTTCCTTATTTTGATCATTGATGTCTCGTATTTTAATCACAAGGCTTCAACACCTTATTGTTTGATTGTTAAATTTCTGTGTAAATACAATATAGGAGTGTGTGATCATGTAGACTTTAATTTGGTGGTAAAAGTGGATAGTGCACCTCTTCTGCAGTTGTTAATGATGTACACGAATTATGAATAATGACACCTAACTGCTCTGTAATAGCTCATCGGATACTTGTCTTGATTTCAGAAACAAGACACCACTCCGACCTAGACCAGATCACTCGTGTAACATAACTCCCTTTCCTATTTCGTTACCATTTTTCTGTTGTATAGGTGTGAGTTATAAATCTTATATTTTGAAATTATTTTATCTGTGCGCCTACAGTGATAAGGTGCAGATAATGTTGAGGGCTGTTTATATACTAACTCTCTTATGTGTAAAATTGCCATTGCCTTGCATTCGCAGTCTTTATAAAAGACTTGTAAATACATGCTGATAAAATATAGTTGTTTGTGAGCAAGTGTAGTAGGTATTTACTGATCTATTCGGATTAACTTATGAACTTCTTCAAATGTACTAAAAAGGACCATCATGATCAGCATGAAAATATGCTTGATTTTGATGTGGTAGGAATGAATTTTTAATATAAGAGAACAGAAACCCTAATTTGACATTAAATCAATCTTCTAAGAAACCAATTTTAAATATTGGCAATAGAATAGAAGAAAAGATGCGGTGTTGTGTAAATAAGAACCATAAGCTCTGAAACTTATGTAAGGGTAATATATTTCTTAAATTGTGACTGAAAGTCACACTGATAGTTGTAAATTTCCCAAACATTTGATTCACATGTAAAAGCTTTTTTCAGTGGTATAATCAGAGTTATTAACACTTTCAAAAAAGAAACAACATGTCGTCAAATCCATGTTCAACTTTTTGTTCCAAAGGTTTATCAGGTTTCGTTTTAACCACTGTTCATAAAAGTGATATGGAACTTTGTCAAACCTTTAAGACAGGATCCAGATCAAAATTCTAGACCTTCAACAACGAGCCTCCAACTGAAACAAGTAGAATCGCCTTGGAGTGTTCATCTTCATGATACATATCATCACAAAATGTCATTATTTTTGTTAAGCATTGATATTATAAATGTTATTTGATATGTAACAGTTGGAAATGATTGATTTGCTGTAATGTCTTAATTGTTTGAATATTTTGAAATGGTTTGATATCTCAACGTTAAGTTTTTTGAGTGGTTTATCAAGAGTTTAGTTTGTAAAACATTGCTAGCTGTAGACAGCATACTGGAATAAAAGTTAATTCGACACGGAAACACATCAAATCCCGCCTTTTTTCTCTTTTGTGCTTTGCTGAATGTCATAATATTTTTTTAGGCTGAATCTGACGCAGAGGACATATCAAACTACCCCATCGAATTATGGTAAGGGTGTAGGAAACCTAAAGTAGTAATCTTGTAAAAAGAACATTTTTATTGGTAACAGAAAATACTAGTCATGCCAAGTGACAACCATCATAAACAAAAAATTACTAAAGGTAATTTGCACTTGCGCTTATTTCTCAAATAGGCCAAATAAAGAAGATTGAAACAGTACATTCTTTCCTATGAAAACTTTCTGTTGACTAGATACCAGATAATTTTTCAAATGTACACACGAACAGATGCAATACAGGAAGTACTGACATATCCCTAGATCATATTCTTAAAATAGATAAACATGACTTAGATTGATCATGAATTTTACCAGAAATGCTTGCATTCTGAGTTTGTCATTTATTAGTAATAAGAAACCTGGAAAATGAAAAAGTAGATGTCCTGAGAGATTCTAGGTCTAACATTCTGAGGATTAGAAACGCAAAAGATGTTGTTAAGCAGAAGTGTAAGTCCAACAATTAAAGTGGAAATAATACTAATCTGTACAAGAGTAAAGAATACAAAAATGAAGAATGGTACTAAAATCAAAAACCGTCTTTCTTCCATTTGTTCCTACTAGAAAAAAAAAACATCTGAATAGAATAAACTCTGCGGAGAAAAGATAAACTTACACAAACTCTTTAAGAAATGAAATCTGAAAATCTGCAGTCACACAACATAACATGAAAAAAAGAATTCGTTCTATTTTGAAGCTTTTGTCCCCTAAAATATTTTGAAGTTGCCAGCAAAATGTATCAAAATTAAAAATAAGGTGGCTGACTGGGAGGTTTATTAATAAGGTGCTTAATTGGGTCTTCATTGTTTTTCAAAGAGACCAACTGTCATCTTCATGTGTTTTTAATTTTTTTGATGTTTTGACCACACCAATATCAGATTTCTTTGAAGCACCATCATACGGCAAGAGACATCACAGCACACTCCTATAACATACTTTCTAAAAAGACTTAAAAATAATTATGTACAGTAAGGTAAAGCTACAAGAAAAGATAACATTTTTTCAGTTAAGGTATACCTTAAAACTCCACAGTGCAATGATTGCAAAAAATTACAATCAAATGGAGTGAGTATATCACAAATAAATCAATGAGCAACACCTTTTCCTCCTTTGACTAAAATAAAGACCAACAAAGCGCAAAGAAAACACAGACAACACACAATGAAATGCTAATCACCCAATCTTTTCTTAATAAAATCATGATTTGATCTCACTTCTTGCATTACTGGTGCTGTATGAAAATTTGCAAACTGACTCTCTTTCCACAAAAAACAAAAACCATAAGACAGAAGGAAAGGGCAGAGACTAGAATTGGATTATATTACATGTAATATAATGCATTACCCTAAATGCAAGAAGTCACTTCAAGTAAGAAGTAAAAATCAGCTTATGAGATTCTTATATTAACATTTAAACAATATATAAAATATATATCCATAGGAATACAATGCGTTGAAAGCAAATGGAGATGGTAAGTACAAAATATGATAAACTAAGCAAGAAGTATAAGTGGCTGGGAACAAAGTAATTCCAAAAAATTAAGAATGTCCCTTAAAGGGTGATAAATTTATCACATACACAGTAGCATTTTTTTTTTCGCACATACCTAACTACACAGGAAGGGTGTAGAAACCCCAAAGTACAGTACAGTAGCCCATATTCTAAAGTGAAACAAAGTTGTGGAAACTACAGTATTCAGAATTAAACGTTTATATACTTTGAACATGAGATCACAACAGAGGCCAGTAAGGAATGTTGCACAATGGTACCATGTTGGCAAGCGATTACAAGTAGAGATAGAAGTTTAAATGTGATTCACTTAATGAAAAAAAAACCTATTTATCACATGTACACATGACGAGATGAGTATACTTTTATAATACCAGAGCTCAAATTTTTTGCCAATCAGTATTGTTATAGGCTATTCTTTGGTATGTGAGAATCAATGGCAAAGCCATAAATAAGGTAATGAATACAGTTTATGAGTGTATGGAAAACTTGATATATACCCCCCTTCAATGAAAATTTGATTTCTTCTCTTAGGCAGGTAAATAGTGATGTATCCAATCCAGAACTCATTTGAATTTCTGATACAATATACAACAACATTTACCCTCATGAGGGCAAAATCAACTCTTGTTATCTGGTTGGGATGGTCATGTTAAGACAAAGCTTGTGATCTCGTATATCACCCCAACCTCCATTTCCCTTTCTAAGTTTGGTCTTCTTAAGAGTATTTGTTACAGTAAGAGTTAAATGGGAAGGATAGAGATGCCTGCTTGCTGCTAGAATCACCTTCTGTACCTTTGATATAACAGCAGTTGACTCACAGTTGGTTTTCTTATGATGAACACCACTACAGATAGGAAAATACACATCAATTAGTATCAAGGAAATGGAAAAACAAAAAACACTGTATGGAAATTTTCTTTTTAATGCTTACCATTCACCAATATGGAACACGCGTGGACCTTTCATGACCATGGCATGTAAACGATGAGGAAGGCAATTTTGACTTGTATGCTGTAGACTCCAATCCCAATTGTAGTCATCATATGTGCAAAAGTATTGTGCACATGCACGCATATCTGCCCAAACTGAACGGTTGAAGGCCATACCCATGTTATGTTTACTACTAATCCATGGAGTAACTTCAGCCTGCAAGTGGAAACAAGTAAATTAGACATCTATGGAAACAAAATTACATGTCTGAAATAAATCAATCTGGAAAATAACATTTAATTTAAAAATAACTTTTAAATTTTTTTATATTTAATTTGGAAAGAAAAGGCTAAGAGCAATGTATTAGCAGCTTCGCCAAATTCAGAGCATACCATTTTCTGTTTTGGTTCTCTTAAATAAGTCAAATCTTAAACACATATCACCAATGAAGAAAAAAAAGGTGAGTCAGTGAGAAAACAAAAAGCATACAAGCGTCTGGTTAGAAGCTTTCTAAAGTGAGAAGCATTAAGCTCAACAGACTTAAAACAGGTATAGGACACCATAACCCATCTGACTTAAGCCCCAGCCCACAAAGAAAATAATACCTAGGTAATAATAGTAACAATTCAAAACACACAGCAGTTCGGATTGCCTATTAATTCACATAAGTTTTTATACACATTATATAAAGTCTTATAAGAATAAAAGTAAAGGAATTTAAAAAAAGGAAAAGTTACAAAAAATTACTTAACAGAAAAAACTGACAACTCTCTGAAAGAAGTTTGTTATTATGTGGAGGACACATTAATTATTCATCAATGTTTTTGACATTAACTCCTGAAGACAAACATACCAGTATTCAAGGTATAGGATGCTACAAAACAAGAACTACTAATAGTTGCACAGACTTTCATGCCTGAAGTAAACTTTCATCACATGCATGTCTACGGAAACTTGACTACCTTTTGATAATGCTGATAGAGAGAAGGCAGAATCTGGAAGTTCCATGAGGGAGCTACAGAGTCTGCTGAAACACCCTGATGGCGTTTCATGGCACGAAGCATCTCCTGTAGACACCAGTGCCACACCAGTGGTCATTTCTAATATTCACAATACCGGGGTGTGGGTAAGCTAAATATTAATGTTTGGGAGCCTACTGTAAACCATTGATCACTCTAATGTAATGGGTCCTGTTTGAACAGGCAGCATAGGTTTTAAAAGGGTACTCCTGTAGGACGGTATGGTTTATGATTTATGTTCTATCTTTAAAAATCGCAAAACGCGTCATTACTAATTAAAGGAGGGGTAAAGACAACAGAGAGCAATGTTCCCCATGCACTTACATTGAGGTCAGCAGTCCGCCATAAAGGGGGCAATATTTACCAGAAAGAAAGGGGAAAAGACAGAGAGAAATGGGAAAGAGAGCAGAGGACAGAAACGGTGCACACACAAAAAAGAATGTGAAGGGGTAATGTACACATGTAAAATCACATACATGTAAGGGAATGAAGCTGCTGCAAGGGAAGCACACAGAGCAAACACACCCAAAGGCCAAAATGCATTGAGGCTGTCAGTGATTAAATAGGCATTCTTCAATGCTGGATCACTCAGAAGACCTTGGATCGTGCCATCATTATTAATAGAAGACTGTACAAGACTGATATAGAACCTACCTTTTTAGAATCACCCCCGTAGTAGTTGTATGTTTTTAGGTATGTTCCAAGGGAGAGAATGTTGCATTGAGGACAATTGGTTGAACAAGTTTTTTGCATTAACCGAAGCACATGAATAAAATCTTCAGCAACAAAGTGGTCCTCTTCCAGAAAAAGGACAAGGCCTGAAACAATGAGATTGTTCACCATTCTTACTGTAGCACACGAGATTATCTGACACTGCTGACATTTTTTTATAATTTTTATTTAAGAACTGACCAGTATGGTTCCTCGTCACCTCTAGCTGGTTAAAGACTCGGTTAGCTTTCCACCACCAATGGTGCTTGGTCTGTGTGAATTTTGCCTCCCTATAGTGACCATAAAGGTCTGGATGGTCCATGTTGGTGCACCTTTTGATCATCGCTCTGGAGGGAAAAAAGGAGTAAAATGGCAAACCTTTCCTACAATATCCGACAATGCAGTAAAGCAAAAAACAAGAAAACAAGACTGGAAAACTCACTCTTCTTTTTTCATGTCACGCGGACAGTCGTCGGGACTCTCGCCTGGGAAGGAATGGGGATGGGTCTGGATCGAGAAAGGGTAGAAGATCTGCATCACCTTGCAGAAGTCCACAGCCTGAACCAGCTCGTTCACCTCCGGGTCGTACACGTCGTGGCTGAACACGAGCAGCACCTGGTCGATGTCCTTGGCCTGCGCCAGGCTCACGATCAGGTGGCGGAGGTAGACGATGCGCGTGTGCACCTGCACGACCACGACCAGGGCGTCGGGCTGCAGCGGCCCGAAGATGTCCTCGTTGAGCACGCGCTGCTCGTCGTTGTAGCGGCGGATGCCGGCCTTGATCGCATCCATGTCCGGGGCTCCTCCGGGAGGCCCCCGCGGCGGCCCGGGCACGAGGACGGGGGCGGCGCGCTGGAGACTGTCGTTGGCCGCGGGGCCCGGGCCGCCAGCGCCGCCACCACCGGCCCAGCCCCCAGCCCCCGTCAGGTTGCGCGGCCGCGACACCAGGTACTTGTGCAGGACCTGCGGCACCATGGCCAGGATGACGGCCGAGTCGTTGCCGTCCGAGGCGTCGCCGGCGCCGCTGTTGCGCCAGCCGCGGCTGTTGAGGCCCGCCAGGTGCAGCTGCAGCCACACGAAGGACACGAGGAACAGCAGCAGCAGCGTGCGGCACCAGCCCGCCAGGGGGCCATGGCGGCGGCGCACGCCCACGGCCCGCACCACTGAAAGGAAAAAGCAAAGAGCAGCTCAATTAGACCAAAAAATGGATCTCATCTTTTGGGCGGAGCCCACCTCGTGACCGACCGTGACAAGTAACATGGGCGACGATGGCTAAACAAGGCCAGCAGAGGCACGAAAAGCGTGCGGTTGATTTCTGTTTCTTTTCATTTTCTTTACAATATGTTTTTCCTTCTCTTTGGACGACTACCTTCTGCTTATCATGGTATTTTACATAGCTTACTTTCACTCGAAATTTACATCCAGGAGCAGAAGGGCGGCATCAGGCAGGAAGAGAGATGTCAGCAGGTAGGGATAAGGGCGTTGGTGCGGGAGGGTAGGGCGGTGCGGTGGGGGAGGACAAGAGGAAGGGTGGGTCGACTAGCAAAAGGGAGGAGCACACAGGGGGTTGCGCTAAAAGAGACTCAAAGGGGGGAGCATCAAGTCAGAGCGCGATGGGGACGGGGCGGACGCGACGGGACTGAGGGTGGGAAGGGGGTGACAGGGCGCGGCGAGCCGTGCCACCAACGGCAGGGCCGGGCAGGGCCTACTCGGGCTCAGCCTTCATTCATTGTCGTGTTGTTCCTGCCTCTGTCGGCCAGGTGCACGGGGGGCGAGCCGAGGCGAGGCGAGGCGAGGGAGGAGGTCGAGGTCGGGCCGGGACGGCACGAAAAGAGCGCAAAATGAAAATCCTTTGAGGCGCTTTACGCCCGCTGCTTCTGCGCGAGAGGATAGGACAGAGGGGACGACAACGGCGGCACTCACCTCGCATTTAGGGGCAGGCGGGCGCACCAGCGACACGGCCAGGGCGCGGCGGGGCGGCGTCTGTGGGGCAGAGAGAGACACGGGCATGACCATGAGCGACTACCTCCGGCACAGGGACCCGACAGGGGGCGGGCCCTCGAGGGCCCACTTCAGCCCGTCACGTCACGTACTGACCGGGCCGAACAATCGGCCCACACCACTCTCAAGGGGGCGGAAAGCCCCCCCCCCCCGTCTCTTTCCCCTCTTAACGATGTACGGGCGAAAATGCCCCGCAGAGACGCTCGGCACTCACCCGAGAGGCTGCCGGACCTACGTCCTGGCGAGACGACCTTCCTCCGGCGCACCCCCGAGAGGATACTGGTCCTGCTGGTCGTCCTGCTGGTCGTCCTGCTGCCGCTGCTGCGGGCGCTCGGGGCGCCGGAGGCCCTCGGGGCGCATGCCTGCAACGCAGATTAAAAATCATCAATCAGGAGAGGCATCGGGCAGCAACAACGGCCGCGGCGGAGGGGTCGCCGTACATTTAATCAGCTGCTTTTGAAACCCGCCCCTTGGCCCTGCCGAGGCCCCGCTGTGGCCCCCGCTCGCTATAAAGCGGTTAGCGCGCGAGTTTGACCCCCTCCCCCTCCCCCCTGGGATGGGTTGCAACCCCTCCGCCGCGGCCGCCTTGGGTGCGTCATAATTCATAGATGACCACCCGGCGCGTGGGCGACAGCAATGACCCCAAACTGGTGGCGGCCCGGGCGGGCGCCCTACAGGGGAGGTTGCCTCTCACCCCCAACCCCCTGACCCCCTCGACCTGGTTCCGGCCCTGGAGTGGACAAGCGGCTGACCGGGAAGGGGGAGGGGAGGGGGATGTCTCAAGCGAGAGAGCGTCCATTACTCAGGCATGCTGGGGTGGCAAGGGGTTGGCAGTTTTGGGCGTGTGGTTGAGGGAGGGGGGGGGAGAAAGGCAGAAGGCCCGGAGATAGGCAGCCACACGTGCGCGGGAGTGCCTGCATACCCGTACAGTACGGCACAAAGTACAGCGGGCCATGTGGCGCAGCGGGGGGCTGACGTGACTGGTAGGCCTGAAGGGGCGACCCGTGGAGGGGAAGGGGGTGGGGGCGACACATACATACATACAGATAGACAGACAGACAGACAGACAGACGGGCAGACGGGCAGACGGGCAAACGGGCAGACAGACAGACAAGCAGACAGACAGACAGACAGACAGACAGACAGACAGACAGACAGACAAGCAGACAGACAGACAGGCACGTTCGTTACGTGATGGGAAAATAATAACATTTCTCTTTTTTATTTCGGGACGATGACGGTGAGGAGAAGCAGAGGGTTGGCACCCCCAGCAGGAAAAGCGGTAGTGGCGGCGGCGGCAGCGACTGGAAGTGGTGCTTCAAGGGGCGGGCGCGCAGTGGCCTGGGGTGGAGCGGAGCGGGGCGGGGGCAAAGTGCATGCTGACGGCGCAGCCAGCCTCCTGCACAAATTGCACGACAGCTAGGCAGTTTACGGGAGCACCCTCATCCCCCCGGCTCTGCGCCACACGGCCCGGGCGACACCGCCACCCCTTACACCTTCCACCCTGCCGTTCCTTTGCCTCTTCCTATTCCCCCCTCCACGCGCGAAGCAACCGCAGAGGGAAAAACTCAGCCCTTCCTCGCCCCACCAACATGTCCCCGTCTCCACGGTGCTCCGCTCGGGTGCAGAGGGTTCGACCTCCAGTTCGGGACGGGGCGGGGCCGGGGGGCTCAAATCCCCCAGTGCAAACACATCTCGGCACAAATGGGTGTTATTTAATTTAACGCGCGCCCATGCCGCCGTTCGCGGAGCAAACAAGGTAAGGGGGGGAAAGAAAAGAAAGAGGGCCCGGGGAAAAGGGGGGTAGGGAGGGAAGAAGGCAGACTGGGGTGTGGGAGGGGGAGCCGAGAGAGAGAGAGACCAGAGCACGGTCGGGCGCGACCTCTATCTCGTCCGCGGTTAATTCCATCTGGACGTCATGCATGTGTCAGCGTTTTGCCGCGCCTGTCGCTCCTGCTGTGCGGTTCATTCGGCGGGGAGGGGGGGGGGGGTACCGTTTGGCGCCACTTACCGGGTGACTGCGGAGGCCGTGGAGGCTCATGCCCAGCGCCCGATGCCCATGGCTCCCGCCGTCCTCCGAGCGGCGCCCTCTAGCGCGCCCGCCCGGACCTGGAACAAAAAAACACACAAGTCGTGAGAGTGGGAGCTCGGCTCATAGCGAGCGCCCGGGGGGTAGGCCGAGCGACCTGCACCAGCGGTCGTGTCCTCGCAGCCGGGGTCCTTAGTGAAAGCCCCCCTCCCCCTATCCCTTGTCCCCAGCGGCCAATGTCATTTTGTCTTTTTGCAGTGTACATTATTTCAGAAGGCACCCAGCCAGCCCCTCCTAGACGCAAGAGGGGAAAAAAGAACAAGGGGATAAGTGGGGGTAGGGGAGCTAGGGGGAAAGGGGTGGGTCCTAAGCCCTCCCTCTACCTCGCGAAGTAAAGGAGGGGGTTGGGGGTGAAATAGGGCTTTGAGAGGAGGAATAAATAGCTGTGAAAATGCAGGGTCCTTCAATGAGGAGGACGCGGAGCGGGTGGCGGTTTGGGGTGCGGTTGGGGAAGGTCCCCTCCTGGGGGGCGGTGGGCGCTCCTCTTCTCCCCTGCGATGGGCCCCTCGGCCCCTTATCCCCATCATCCCCACGCCCCACCCCTCCCGCCCGCCCAAAAGCCGCCATGGCGCCGGCGCTTTAGTGTTTCGACCATAACTCCACCCCGCGTCGCTCGGAATATTCCACCGCATCTGTTATAAAAAAATGAGAAAAGTGCTGTGTCGTCACGCGCCCTCTTGCGCTCTCTACCACTGCCAACTGCCATTGATTTCAGTGTTGCCTTTTCCGCCCCGCTGCCAACGATTCCCGTCACGTGCACGCGTAACATAACGCTATGAACGAGTCTAACTGTTTGACGGCCAACGGTAGGCTGGGCGACGGCACTGACGGCGAGCAGTGAGCGAGCAGCGCGGTGCTCCAGAAAATCGATCGTTCACAAAGATGCGAAGTATTCATCACTGACCTCCAACGTATTAGTTATTTACTAAATACCGGGCAAGTGCGCAAGAGTTACCGAATCACGTCTCTAGGAACGCTGGAGAGAGTTATACTGGATACTTGCTCAGGTACACAAACACAAGTTAATTCGCTACGAAGCCTGCACATGCTTCGTAGCCTGCTAGGAATTTTGCTAAGTATGCCCTATACACGAGGGGGAAATCACTCCAGATGAAAGTGTACGAGTTAGTGCGTTAGTACACGTTAGTACATCCTATTTTTAGAGCAATTTTTCATAACTTTTACAAAATTTTGTTAGTACAGCACTACTACGCTTGAGTTTTACCCGAGCTTTTACCATAAATACGCGTTATTACGCCGTTAGTACAAGTTAGTACAGGCCTGGGTGTACCAGTTAGTACGCAAGTGATTTCCCCCTCGGCCCTGCAGGGTTTGCAGGGCAATGCTACGCAATTGCAAATAAATGCTTGGCAGTCAGCAAAGCACCTCGTAAATTTCATGGCGTTTTCAAAAATCTCAAATATTGTATACGAGGTAGTCAGTAAATAAAACCGTATACTACATGCATACACGATAAGTACTTGGAGGAGCAGGAACGATCAAGCGCACCAGGTGGAGAGGCGGCGAAAAGCGGGAAGGGAAACGAGACCAACGTGAAGGATAATCACATCAGACTACCCCCCCGGCACAAAGTACAGCGGGCCATGTGGCGCAGCGG